GGCCCAAGTTAGATGGCGAAACCCTTTTCTGCTCTGAGGACACTAACGTTGACCATTTGCTTGCCCAACTAACTCCAGGTTGAAGATTCTTCTCCACAAGCCTGCCTTACTATGGGTGCTTGTCAAATATGGCCATTCTCTCAGGGTACACACCTCCAGGAAACTTCCTTTTTAACCAGAATGTCCCCATGGAAAGTCTTAGGTCTTTGACTATCTCTGTTATGGCTGAGAAAACTTTATTTTTGTAATTAGAAAACTCACTGTCTAGAAAGAGGAGTGTAAAAACACATCATGGTCTTAGAAAGAGAACCCAGAGAAGCAGTGGTCCCAGAAAGCATCAGGGCAGAGAACCAGAAGGCCTGGCTCTGCGTCTGACACCAGTTTTTATTTTCTATTGTTCACCTATTTAAATTTTTAAACTGTGGTGTGTGTGTGTGTGTGTATGTGTGTATGAATCTGTGCACATTAGTGGAGGTTCCTTTAGAGATCAGAAGAGGGCATCAGATCTCCTGGAGCTGGAGTCACAGGTGACTGTGAGCTATCTGACATGGGTGCTGGGAATCAAACCCTGGTCTTCTGAAAAACCAGTATGTGCTCTGCTCAGCTCTCTCCATCCATGGACTTTCCTTTTAAATGGGAATTAAGTATGGGGAGAAAGTCATGACCTTGTCTGACCCACAGCACACAGGTTCTAAACTGTTTCCCCTTCACCATCCAGTAAACATTAGTAAGAGAACAAACCTGGTGCTCCCTGTTTGTGTGAACCTGCCGAGTGCTCCTAACCTGTCTCAGCTTTGGTTTCCATATTTGTAAAATGGTGACAGTGAAAAGATGTAACTCACTCACAGTCACAGGGAGGATCAAGGAGCAGATGTGTGGTCCTTAGCTCACAAAAAGTCTCACAGCTATTGAGTCCCTGATCCTGTAACCATCCATGACTTTAAGTCATTTTTTTTTTTGTTTTGTTTTTTTCACAGCAATGAAAAGTAACTAATACAGATACTAATCCCAAATAGCGCCCCCAAATGCTGGCCAGTGCCATGGCTTCTGACATAGCTGGTGCTGTAGGGGAACACTCCAGTGTGCATGTCAGAGGCCAGCCTCAGGGGGAAGCCCTGCCTTCCACCATGTTTGAGGAAGGTCTCCTTGTTCCTCTCTTTGGGGTATGCCAGGCTAGCTGGTCCTCAAGCTCCAAGAGATTCTCTTGTCTTTATCTCCAATCTAGAGACAGAAGCCCCAAGGCTCAGGTTTCTGTGGGTTCTGGGGATCAGAACTCAGGTCCTCACACTTGAGTGGCAGGTGCTTTAAACACTGAGCCATCTCCCTAGCCCCCCGGACATCTTGTTTGACACTGCAAAGGAGGTGATGAATGTATGAGACCCTTGAAAGGGGTCAAACACAACAACAATAAAAACATGAAGGCAGAGTCTTCCCTCTTCCTTTTTACTGCCCTCAGCAACTCATAGAAACCACTTTACACTTTTAATCCCATTTACACTTTTAATCCTAGCACTTGGGAGACAGGCAGATCTCTGTGAGTTCAAGGCCACCCTGGTCTACTGAGCAAGTTCCAAGGCAGCCAAAGCTACACAGAGAAAACCTGTCTGGAAAAAAAAAAGTTCATCATGTTAGGTTCCATGTTGTGTCCAGTAAAGGGTTTGTCGCAAGGTTGTGACTCAGTTTGTAAATTTTGGAACTTCCAAATAATATTTCCTAGAAATCACACCTGTCTTTTTCTTAATCATCTTAGCTCAAACTTACTTTTCCCCCTTTTCTGCATTCATGATTACAAGAAAAAAAACTTTTATTCTTTCTTTTGCTTGTACTTAAATATCATAATCTTCTATTGAGTACTGTTTTCTTTTTGTTTGTTGTTGTTTGGTTACAATATACATTTATTTAAAGTGAGGCATCTATAGATCAAATAACTCTTAAGTTGTGATTCAGATTGAAGCCACTTCTTAAAATATGCCGAGGCCAGGCATATCCACAGATCTCAACTACAAGACCACTTCTTCGCCCATTATGCTTTCTCTTTCCTTTCCCAAATAAGCTCTTTCATAGGGTTCAAGGTAGAATTTGTCCTCTTCATATTTTGTACACTGCTCCTTAGGCAAGATCTGAGGTTCAAGGCTCTCTTAATTCGAAACATTCTGTCATTATAAAGATTCTCAGGAAATCTTCTTTTTTTTTTTTTTTTTTTTTAAGACAGGGATTCTCTGTGTAGCTTTGGAGACTTTCCTGGAACTAGCTCTTGTAAACCAGGCTGGTCTCTTACTCACAGAGATCCGCCTGCCTCTGCCTCCTGCGTACTGGGATTAAAGGCATGTGCCACCAACGCCCAGTTTCTCAGGAAGCCTTCTTATGGCTTCTTTGACATCTTCAGCCTCATACATTGTATCATCTCTCATTAGACCCAGCTTGTTGAATCCTGCAGCATTATAATACCATTTTCAAAAACCTTCCAACCACTTGCTTGATGCTACAACAGCAGGTCTGTCCGCTATTTTGACCCGAGAGTGACGCGCTGCCTCCTGGGTAAATCCTAGAGGATGCGCCTTGAGTACTGTTTTAGTATGGGCATTAGAGGGATTGGTAGTGCTGGTAGACATTACAGCATTATGGTCTTTGGGAGAGGGTGTTGAGACATTGCCTCACACAGGACAAATTGCTCTTGGAACTTGATAGGTAGATGAGAAGCTCTTTAAATTCTGATCTTCCCATCTCTGCTTCCCAAGTGCTGGGATTACAGGCGGGCACCACCATGCCTCTAAGTGGTGCCGAAGACTGAGCTCAGGACTTTGTGCAAACTAGATAATCACTCCACCTGCTGGGCTCTATATCCAGGTGGACAGTTGTCTTGAAGGAATGCCACAGATAGTGTGACACGTAAGGACCACAGCATTTGGAAGTGTTTCAAAAGGCTAATGAAAGCTCAGTGTGTGTCCGTGGGGGAGGAGAGGCCAGTGCTTCTTGAAGCAGGCAGAGTTTTAGTTTCGAATTAAGAATACATTGGGTCTGGAGAAGCAAGCGAAGAGAAAGGCACACTGTGAGCAAGTATGCGGAGGCTGGAGTGGCAGGTATCAGTTCAAAGCGCTCAAAGTGGCCCGCATGCAGTGCTTTAGGTCTGTGTTGGGCAGAAGGAGTCTGGGCTTCATGGGGCAAGGCAATGGAGAGCCTGGATGTGTTGTGATGCTTCTTGGGCAGCAAGAGACTTTCAGTACATCTGTAGCACGACATCTGGCTCCATCACTGGATGGCAAGAGGTGGGACCCTGGCCAGAGGTTTTAGACGGAAGGCTAAGTAAGGTACAGGAACTATGAATGTTCAAGGAGGGAAGAAGGAAGGCAAGATGGTTCCAGAATGTTTGGCTTAGTGGCTAGTAATAGAGGGGCATACCTCACATTGCACTTAACCCTCTGTTCTACCTTATTGAATGTTTCTTGTCTTTTCTATTGAAACTTTCTCCTGCCCTCACTGCCATAAAGTCTGCTAATACAACCAGAACATATTCTGCTATTGTCACTTTCCTACCCAGACTATAGTACATAAACACACACCAAACAAGCTCACACTATAAAATGACCAGTCTTCAGAAAGTCACTGAAAGCAAGCAAAACCACTTGAAGCTTTGCAATTTCCCCCTTGCCTGCATCAGATTTTGTGATTAGCCGTGACACAGCCACTACTCCCACTGCCTGTCACATCCTCTCCCTGCTTGTTAGTGCTAGGAAGTGCATCCACGGTTAAGTTCATGGAGTCAATCATTTGCATTACTGACTCTGAACTTTCCTTTTGAATTTACACTTAGAACAACAATATCCTGCATTTCCATTTATGACTGCCTTTTGCTGTTTAAATAGTGCTTTCATTAGTGTTATCTCATTTGAACCTTTATTGAAAAATCCAAGGAAGCAAGCCTGAGGTAGGGTTTTTGCTGTGTCATTTACACAACCATGAAGGGCACATTCTTACCTAACAGAAAAAACAACACTCTGACTATTTGACATGAAAATATTAGAAATTATTACAGAGACCAAAAACGTTAGCACATGGGTCTTTTCAAGCTTTCCTGTTCCCTCTGGACCCACAATAGGGGCTGTGCAGCAGAATCATGCCCTGGGGAAGACTATTGTTTGGAGAGTTAGTGGTCATTTCTGCCCTGGCTGTCTAGAGTAGCTCATCTCAGACTACCGTAATATCCAACCCTACTTTCTGAGGACGCTACTCAGTGCTACTTGTTCAGTTCAGAAGTTACACTAAGCATTTTATTGGCTTCAGATTACAAAAGAAAAATGAAGACAGGAATGTAGGCTTAATTCTGACAGTCTTGATGATTCTGGGGGTGGGGGGGGAGATAAAATGGAGCCAGGGTGGTCTAAAAGGGAAAAGAGTACTCTGTGACTACAGCTTGATTTACCACTTAATGTAGAGTATGGCACCAAAGCTGTGTGTGAATCAGTCAAAATCTTACATATGCCCATGCATATCTGTCCAGAAGCCAGGCTCTTCTGCAATTTGTAAATAAGAATTGTGAATATATCCTTGACCTGGGGACAGTGGAACATCCATCGAAAGGCCATCTGTCTTGGGGAGTTGTAAGCTGAAATCACCCTGTATGTGTTGAATGTCTCGTATATAAATTATATTTCTCCTAGGACAACCTTGTAGTGGTCTCACAGAATCAGTTCATCACTGTCAAGAAGGTATTTGTGAACAGTTTTACACTTCTGTCTTGGAATCTTCATTTTTCATCCCTTTGGGAAGAGGAATCTAGACCATGGTGTGAACTTAGCTGATGTATAAGTTGTAGGAAAGATGTTCACATTGCACATCCCTAGTAAGATTCATCTGCAACTAAGGAGCATTATAACTTGAATTGTTTGATACCTAAGGGAGCTGAATTCATGACTTTACTTAAAACATACCATGAATGCATACTGCATTAGACAGTGGTCATTCTCACTTTCTTAATGAGTTGTCTTGTCCCTTCTTTCTAGGTCCTTGGATGTGGCTCTGTTGCCCAAGCGGTCCTTAGCCGAGGACATCTTGGTGGAATCATCACTATCAATATTGGATTTGCAGCAGCAGTTGTGATGGCTATTTATGTCACTGGCGGTGTCTCTGGTATGCACCAGAAGTCATTATTACAGCTATTAATGCAACAGTCCCAAATGTGCTAGTTTATGCACATTATTTATTGTGTCTCTACAATCCTGCAAGAATATGTATTGATATCTTTTTATAGATGATAAAAATGTAAATACCAACAAATGGTGTCTTATGTGAAGGCAACACCGAACAAGGACCAGATGAGGTTATTAGCACTCATGCCTGAGCCATCCCTGTTACTACAGTGTCCTACTGTAATCAGTACCTCTTATCTTATTAATCTCATGTTTGGAAGCCATTTCCCAGACATGCTTGTGAATAGCTCAACAAGGCCACCAGCAGAGGCAAGTGCCTGGATCGTTATCAGCCACAATCAGAGAAGCTAGGTTTTATGCAACATCAACTCTGTCTCCATGACAGGAGTACCTTAGCTAGAATGTGTTAACTTCATTCTTCCCTGGTAGCCAGGCCACTTACTGGATTCTGTACAGCAAAATGATGGGATGCTATTGAATGCAGTCTGGAAACTCAGGAAGAGACACCAGGGCAGGACCAGGTGTCATGGAGCAACTGTTATGAATTGTAATGCAATTATCTGGTTTGTGATCCCTGTGAAAGGGACCTTAAACCCTGAAGAGTCTCAACCCACAGGTTGAGAACCTCTAGTTTAGAGTGTTTTGCCTGCATGATATTCTGAGTTGAACGTTGTCAAGTAATCATATGGTACTAATTCCCCTCAGATTCGGTTGGTATAATTGACCCTTGTCACTGCCACTGTAGGTCACGGATCTTTGCATTCATTGTTATATTTGGGGACTTGATGAGTCACTGTACAGAAGCATTGAAAGAAGCAGCAGGAAGGATAAGAGGGAGCAGAAAGATGGCAAAGAGCTGCCCCCTCTGGCCTGGGTACCGAGGCTAAGTCAGCAATGACTAGAGGTTGCATTTCCAGGTGACCAAGTTGTTTATGAGAGGCTGTGAGAGCACCCAAACCCAATGGAATGGTGGATGAGCCCGACTGGTGAATGATAGTGTTGAGTTAGAGTGGGAGCACCTAGCATGCCTCTGTTTAGAACTAGCGTAGTTCAGGCTCTGAGGACTGATGACTTGGGAATGTATAGGGACACCGCATGTGGTCTCCATGACAGCTACACAGACCACAGCATCAGTCTTGACCTCAGTGGCTACAGGAATCAGAGAAGACAATTGTGTGGGAGATGTCTCTATCAAGGTGGCTGTGCCTAACATGGTTTGTAGCCTCATGGGAAGCCCTATTTTTGAGGAGTCCAAGAAAAACTAGTGCATGCTGGACATGAATATAGATGTTAGCCCATTTTGTGTCCACAGATTGGTGAAGTCAGTGGCCTTGCACTTTTAAATATAAAGAATCAATTTGCTATAAAGGAGTTTTAGCATCCTGTCCATTGTGAATTTGCCATTCATCCAATCAGAGCTTATTGTTATAAATACGTGTAATATGCTACTCAAAGCATGTAGGCTACATGATGGTAACTATATTTTAAAGTTACTGTGCGTGCGGGCGTGTGTGTGTGTACATGCACACATATGTCATAGAATACACATGGAGGCCATAAGTTCTCGCCTTTTACCATATGGGTCTTAGGGATTGAATTCAGGTTATTAGGCATGATGGCAAGTGCCTTTAACTTGCCCTCTCAGACATCTCAGTGGATCCTGTTGGGAACAATTTTTGACATAGTTGAAATGAGTTAGTTGAAAAAGCAGAGAAGCCTTGCTCAGTGACAGGAGAATTGTAAGCTATCACAGAATTGTGTGAGGGTGGTAGAGGAGTTTACCTAGAACAGAATCATTGAAGAATTCACTTAGCTCACCCAAGACCCAAGTCTTAGGCTGTTAGCCTCCAGTTGTTCCCTGAGGGGGTTCTTTATGTGAATAATATGGTCATCAAAGCAACCTTGGCGGACCCAACATTTGAAGGCAGGACTTTCTGGCCCTAGCCCTCATGTTCTTTCCACTACATTGCTCTGGCCTTGGCCTTGCAGTAAGCCACTCGGGTCTGTAGGGAGGTAGTTCTTTAACCCTCTGGACAGTAGCCATTGCTCCCCCTCCCATTCTTAACCTTCTGTCACCCATTAGCCCCTTCTCCTCATTAGTTTTCAAAGCTTCCTCCCAGGTCTACCCTCTCTGAGTCCCTAGCAACTGTCCCTGACTTCTGTCAAGTGCATCACCTAAACAAAGCCCCTCGATTATCTCATCAGCTTTCTTATCTAAATTGCCTATTAAGTGGCTGACATCACATGAGATCTGAGGCTAATTAGGCTTCCAGGGTGCCTGCAAAATGCAAACCTACCTGTGGGAATTTTTATCTTAGAAGAGAACTTGTCCTAGAAGCCTTACTGAGCAAGGCACTCCTGAGGGATGGTTTTGATCAGAAGTGACTTTTTATGGCCCTCTTGTCCTTTCGCAGTGAGTGTCTTATATCATAGATTCTGCCCTGTTAGAAGGGATTAGGCATGCCTGTTATCCTATCGAGTCCCTTCGCTCATCTCCTCTAAGCTCAGAGACCCTCTTCTCTTGGCATAGACCCTCCTCCCCTTGAAAGTCTAGAAATTTAAGGTATTTCTTTCTTTCTTTTTTGTAAGCTGTCTCTATGTGTTTCTGCAGCCTGGTTTTGTCCTCTCCATCTGCATCTGGGTTCTAGTTCGACTCAGTGTTTATGTATGGGTGTTTGCTCCTGTTTCCAACAGGTATCAGATGAGGGCTCCATGGATAAGTTAGTTGTTGATCTCACTATCTGGGAAGGGCATTTATGGTAGCCTTTCCACGGATGCTCAAATTGTTAGTTGGCGGCAATCTTGTAGGTCTCTAGGCCTTTCTTTGTGTTCAGTTTTAGCTTCAAAGCAATATTGGCTCCCTCTTTTATGTTCTCTCTCTCTCCCTCCCTCCCTCCCTCCCTCCCTCCCTCCCTCTCTCTCTCTCTCTCTCTCTCTCTCTCTCTGTCTCTCTCTCTCCTGTATTCTATTCCTAACCAGGCTCGATCTTCCTAGTCGCACGTGTTTTCCTTTACTCCCCCTCGTTTTCTCCTACTTCTCTCTCCATTCGCTGCCCCCACTCACTTCCCCTGAGCTCTGGGGGGACTTGTCCCTTCCTGCTTCTGTGAGGGACTTTATATGAATCTCTTAGAATACACCTTGTATCCTAGTTCCTCTGGTGGTGTAAATTATAGGCTGGTGGTGATCCTTTGCTCTAGTTCTAAAATCCATATATGAGTGATTACATACTATGTTCCTCTTTTTATGACTGGGTTACCTCATTCAGGATGGTTTCTTCAAGTGCCATCCATTTGCCTGCAAATTTCAAGATACCATTATTTTTTTCTGCAGAGTATTCTATTGTGTAGATGTGCCACATCTTCATTATCCATTTTTCAATTGAGGGGCATCTAGGTTGCTTCCAGGTTCTTGCTATTACAAATAGTGCTGCTATGAACATAGTTGAACAGATGTCTTTGCTGCATGGATGTGGATTAGAACTGGAAGGTATTTCATTTGTCCTGTGGGCTGCTGTTAGATCCTCTGGCTCTGGATCCCTTGCCTTCCCTGTGTCAACTAAAGGATTCTCTATGTAGCCGTAGGGATATGAGGAACGGATGCAGGCTGGCTCCAGGCATTTCCCACAAATCCCCATGTTTGTCCAAATTCCTTTTTCCAACCTTCCCCCTAACCTGACTTCTGGAGCCCGTAAAAGCAAGACCCCACAGTTGGAATTTTCCTGCTCATATTCATTCACTGAAATTGAATGGCAGGGGTGGCTGGCTGTCTTTGTGGGTTAACAGCCAAAAACCCACTGTCAACTTTGGACAGGAGACTTGAGGAAAAGCATGGCTCTCTTCATGAGGAATGGGCTTCTAGAACAGGCTTGACCATGGTCCTGATGAGGGCCAGGGTTCAGGGTTATCATCACCCTAATAATCACCACTGACATCGAGATCATTATCCTCTCTCTTGCTCATATCTAACCTGAATGTCCACATTTCAATGTGCTGACTTTGAAAATGAATTTGATCCATCTCCCACATGAAAGGACATCCATATTCTTCAGGTTCACCTTATACCCTGCCACCACGCAAGCTCAGATGTGTGTATGTTTACACATACTTAATTTTCAAGGCACATACTTCTTGCTTTGAGATTTATTTTAATTATGTGTATTTGTGGCGGTGGGGAGAGTAAGTGCAGGTTCATGCAGAGTCCAGAAGAGGGCGTTGGATCCCTTGGAGTGAGTTACAGATGGTTTTGGTGTGGGTGCTGGGATCCAAACAAGTCCTGCCAAAGCAGTAGGAGTTCCTGACCACTGAAATGCTCCCCAGCAGAGAAATCCTTACAAGTGTGCTGAAGGAGGTCTAGAAGTGGGTAAACGGAACCTGGCCCTTAAATTCCGATAAAGCTGGACTTGAATCCTAGTTCATTGACTATGTAGCTTGGAGAAAGCTCCTCCTGCTTCTCAGTTTTCTCACCAGTTAATTAGAGCAGAATCCATTCCGTTAGGGTCTTAAGTCTAAATAATACCACAGTGATGCTGTCTGGCCAATCATTCCGTAAATGCTGCAGTTGAGTCCCAAGCCTCGTGGGACCATCACTGAGCACAGAGCAAAACTTCTATCTAACCTTGTGTTCAGCTAAGAATCAGGAAGCTGATTTTGTTGCCCATGGCTTGGGTTGGGTTGAGGCAGTTGTTACCACATTTCTGTGTGAGAGAACACACTATTTACCCAGAGGGACCTAGAAGGATACATCCAGACATGGCAATCACCTCCAGAAAAGCCCTTCTAAGCCTCAGGGATAGGTGCAGAACATCCAGCAGGACAACATCCCTTCCCAGCATGAAGACAGCTTTACAGCCTTTGGGCATGTGCTGAAGAATTGTTAGCTATGGACTCAAGCCTCAGTTGCCTTCAAAGTATATTCCCAGTAATAGTTCACACCAATCTACTTGTAGTATTCCTTAACTGATAACTAAAGCTCCACTAAAAACAAAACAAAACACACACACACACACACACACACACACACATACACACACACATGCACGCGCGTTTTTAATGTCTGAGTCCCTTTCCATACAGATAGACATTCTAAACGGTGTGTAATAATGCCGTGGATTATTAGTTCTCCCCCACCCCAACACTCATCTGTGTTTGTGTTTCCCTCCCCATCCCCAACTCTCTGGCCTCTGCCCCCTGACTTTCTCTTCTTCCTCGCAGGAGGCCACATCAACCCAGCTGTGTCTTTTGCAATGTGCATCTTTGGAAGGATGGAGTGGTTCAAGTTCCCCTTTTATGTGGGAGCCCAGTTTTTAGGAGCCTTTGTGGGGGCTGCAGTTGTCTTTGGCGTTTACTATGGTGAGTATTCACCTGGAGTCCAAAGACTTGGAGGGGTAGTGAGGCACCCTGTGCAAGCTTGGGTTTCTTGGTAGGAAACAGTGAGACTAAGCACGAACAGGGAGCATTATGACAACGAAGCCCATGTTATCAACAGGACACTTATAAAGCCTTTTAATAAAATCTGTGAATTGGTTTTTTCAATCTAAAGATGTTTATCTATGTGGGTTTGTTTGTTTGTTTCTGCCAGTATACTTGTCTGTGTACCACCTGTCTGATTATCACAGAGGCCAGAGAAAGTATCAGATTCCCTGGAACTTGGAGTTACAGACCATAATAGTGAGACACCGTGTGTTTTCTGGGACTCACTCAGGTCCTCTCTGGAAGAGCAGCTAGAGTTCTTAACTGCTGAGCCACCTCTCTAGACCCCAAATATGAATCCTAAACTTTTAAGAGCTTAATTTCAGGTTCACCCTGCACTGCAATATGCTACAATATGAACATAGGCAAAATGCCTTACTTGTCTAGAAAAGAGGTCCTGTCTGGTCATGAAAGCTGTGGCCCCGGAAATATTTAGAGTAGGAATATGGGAACAGGCCTTTAAGGAAGATACACTGTTGAGAAACAGGCTGTGTGGGGGCCTCTGCCCCTTCCAGCAAACAGTTGACGCATCTGCTTGGGAGCAGGCCACAGGAAAATGTGGTCCTGTTGATCACAGGCCCAGGACTGTGGCAGTCGGTAGCTCTGTGACTTTAACACATCATCTGGTAATAAAGCATGATGCCACACTCCTGCAACCTGTGAGGAAGGATGGATGATGGGGGATCCAAACTCATTCTCAGCTACAAAGCAAATTCAAGGCCAGCCCGGGTGACTTGAAACCTTGTCACAGAATAAATAATAAATAAAAATACACTTTATATATACAATATATGTTATAACATATATAAAAATACATCAGACCATGTAGGTCCCAGTGTCCTTCTCTGAAAAACTAAGGACTCCCAAAGTCCTTAAGGCTAAGGGATCTTAGGGTTGTGTGGGACCAACTGTTAAAATAGTTCTTTGCATATAACACAAGATGAGCCTCAGAACATTCTGAGTGGCAAAATGAAGATATTGATAATTCAAACCCCAGGGAAACTGGTTGTACAAAGGGGCAGCTCCCCACAATGTCTCTCTGAGATTTAAATGTCTAAGGGAGATTTGAGGTCAGACCAGAAACTGAGGGAGCCAGCAGCTTGGCAAAGAGGGGTGCAGGATAGGTGCTGCCTGTATCAGAGGCAGACAGTTTCCTGGTTCTGAGGGCTCTGCAGGTCATCCATAGCATCTTCTCTATCTAGGCACACTCTTACGTTCTGAAGTAAATTTTTAGGGGCACCAGAGAGCACTGTAGGAGCTATGACTTTCACTTAGTTAAAGTCACACTTTGGTTTTATATCAATCTTGAAAACTCCAAGAATTCTACCCACATCCCCAAAGAAAGTTGGTCTCCAAGACCTCACTGACTAAGGACTGGGTCCAAGTTTAGAGCTATTCTACTTTGATTTCTGTTCCCGTTATAAAACACTCTGACCAAAAGCAATTTAGAAGAGGAGAGTGTTTATGTCAGCTTCCAGGTCATGATCTATCACTTAAGGAATTCAAACAAAAACTTGAAATAGGAAACATGGAGGGATGGTGCTTGCTGGCTTACTCACAGGCTCAGGCACACACAGCTTTCTTATACAGTCTAGAGCCACTCCTTGAAGAGTGTCCACCCACAGTGGGATGGACCCATCTCCATCAATTAAGAAGTAAAGCAATCCCTCATATACCTATCTATAAGCCAATCTAAACAGGGCAATCTCCTAGCTGAGACTACCTTCTCAGGTTATCCTAGGCTACGCCACAGTTTAATTAAAGCCAACCAGAACAGCCTCCCTCAGTCCCTTCCAGAAAATGCTAATGTCCTCGAGCTCTGTCTTCCATAGATGGACTCATGGCCTTTGCTGATGGAAAATTGCTCATCGTGGGAGAAAATGCAACAGCATCCATTTTTGCAACGTACCCAGCTCCATTCATATCCCTGCCAAATGCCTTTGTAGACCAAGTAAGTGGAGAGTCAACAAGGAGCTGATTTTGGTGGAAAGACGTGATAGGGATGGGATGTTTTTGCATTTCTGAGTCAGAGGTCCTTATTTGAACTGAGCTTTCTTGACAGTGATTCACCCTTGAAGATGCTTGATGCCACTAAAAAGAGTTCTATGCTTCCTTTTTAATACATGTACTTCATATTAGGTGGGATCAAGACAAAGAGTGGCTGCCTGGACTAGAGGCAAATGAGGTCCATCTCACTTCTAGGGTCTCTTTTGTGCTAAGGGTAACAGCGACAAGAGATGGCATCTTTAATTCTAAGGACTATGAAATATGGTGGTGAGCCTGGGGTGTCATGAATCTGCCCTGTTTCTCCATGAAGCCTAGGTTTACCTGACTCTCAAGGGAGATAAACGTCTCAACTAGATTGATATTTGAAGTGGCTTCTGCTAGATGTGGTGGCACCACAAGTTTTGGGCCAGCCTGGTCCACACAGGAATCTCTGGGTCAACAGGGCTGCACAGTGAGTCCCTATCATAAAGAGCCACAGCTGTATTGGTTGGTTTGTGAAAACATTCCTATATCCTCACCATTTTCTTTTCCACTTTGGACACAAGTGGATATCGGCAGCTCCTTGGGTGCTCAGCACCGTGTCTGGGGCTTGGAGAGCTGGTAACTGAATGTGAGCTGCAAAGTTGCAAGAACCAGAGTCTGAGTTTTTGAACTTGAAATAGCATTCCTGTCCCCAGTGCTGTGAGTGGCTTCAGCGAATTGCAGAACTTTCCTTAAGCTTCTAGTTACAAGAACACTGGGTGCTCTCCAGAGGACCCACACGATTGCTCAGAACTATCTGCAAATCCAGTTTCAGATGACCTGACACCATTCTGAACTCCACAGGCATTGCATGTATGTGGCACACATACATTCATGCAGGGCAAACGCACATACACATAAAATAAATATACCTTTGTTTATTTTCACTTGTATTCACATGTGGATATAAATATCAGCCTTTGTCAGGTTTATCATAAGAGTTAAAAAATAATATGAGAAGAAATGTGTTATGAACAGTATCTGTGGAGAAATATAGAATATAGTTGAACAGAATGACCACAGAAGAACAAGGTGACAGCCAGATGTGGTGAGAATGCCTAAAATCCCAGAATGCCCTCCTAGATATTTTTAAGAGCATTGTGAATAATAAATAGTAAATGAGGCTACTTCATCACATTAGTAACTTGGAGAAGGGAACCTACAAGACCTAGAACTGTATAAAGAACTTTAGTGAGAAAGACACAGAGCATGAAGCTGTCTGAAGAAGGAAGGTTGTTGCCATGTATAAGAATGCATGCATCGCAAGCAAGTGAAGTAATTGTGTTTTAGGTTTGCTTCAAGGTATCACTCACAGCCAGAGGTATGCTTCTGTGAAAGGAAGCTAGAGCTCCTCTATATCACACAGGCCGTGAGTGGAAGTCACTGTGGGTCTAGATAAGGTTTGGGGATAGTGTGGGTGAGGAGGGACCATCAAGTGGAAAAGCAGAATAGATCTGATTCCTTATCCCTTATTCCAAAAGAAATCTGATTGAAGCACATGCACATCATAAGTGATAAAAATTGTTTTTGGGGGGTCTGATTCTGAGCTTGTTATTCATGAAGGTTTATTTTCGACTGGGCTCCAACTTAGAATATAAGCTCTCAGCAAGGACAGCCTAGGCCTCTTGGCGATCTGTTTCTGGGATTGTTTGGATGTCTTCATTTCCTTGGCCAACAGTTAGGCATAGTCTGCAGTCTCTTCCTTAGTTTTCTTGATACATTGTTTCCTCAGAGCGATGTCAGCATTTGTGATTCAGGACATGTGGAGTAATGAATGGGTCACTGAATCTTGGGTGCCTTGGACCTGGGCTTCCTCCCTTCTCTGTGTAATGGCTTTCTGACATTGGTTTAACATTGGTGAACATCATCTTCTTTAGAGAAATTGGAAAGCTTTAAGATTCTGCTAGCTCTTTTTAGACCCCAGTGGCTGAGGCACAGTAGCATCTGTCAGTCCAGGAATATCCTTCTCTCCGTTTTGTCTTTTTTTTTTTTTTTTTTTACAATAACCAAGTTCAGAACACTCCAATTAGCATCCGCAATGCATCCCAAACAGACTTCTGCTTCCTCGCTCCAGTTTCCCTTGGTCTTGAGCAAGAATGATCCTGGCTCCCTCCGCTGTAGGTCAAGACACCTTGCTTCATAGGACAATCTTGTTTCTCATTCTTACCACATATCTCTTCCACTCTCCACCCAGAACACTGGCAGCAACTTTTGAAGCCATGTGCTTCTCACAGGAAATACTAAGTGTGAATTCTTTGTCCCCTTCAATGAATCCCATGGTTGGGAAGGATATAGTTAGCTTCCTCTTGGCAGAACCCATCACTTGGGAGGCATCACAAAAAAGAGCCTTAAAATTTTGTTTGCAGCAATAGAGATTGAACTTGTGGCATTGGATGCGGAAGGCAGGCTTTCCATCACCAAGTGCCAAACAATATGCATTAATGAATGGCTGAGTCTATAAATGAGTGAAATTATAATTATGCCGAGTTATATCCCATGAAAAGAGGACGTAAAAAAATTGTTCCTCACTAAATAAAGACCTTGACTCCTAAGGACAGCAGTCACTGGAGGTAGTTGTTGGAGGCTAGTCTGGTGGCCCTCTTCATAGTAGACAATAGGAACTGAGGGAATAATGAACTCTGGATGATGGGCAGCTTGGAACGCAATACCGCTCAGAGTCTTCCCACTTACGATACTAGATGAGCTGACTGGAAACAGAAGTTAACAAGTAGGGGAAACTGGAGCTGTCTGAAGAGAAGGAGGTTGCAGGAGGGTTGTTTAGACAGCAGTATGCAAGCAAACAGGCACGAGGAGAGACAAGGTAGAGAGTACATTGCTGAAAGCCATGATGTGGTCCATGTTTGGGGTCCTTACATTTGTGATATGGGCTACTGTGCAGAGAGTGGCATAGACAAAATTAATCTTCCAAGCTTCAAAACACTAGGAGTCTATTGCTGCAGCCCCATCTGGATGCCCTCAGATGATGGGAACTGTCAAGCATGAAGCTCCAACAAAAACCAGGAGCAATTAACCATTCGTCTGCTGAGTCAACCTCCGAATAAATAGGCTTTGGGAAAGGGTAAAACCTTCAGGGTTTCTGGAAGCTGGCTTGCCTCTCTATTCAGACAAACATATCTTCTAAGGAAGATCAGAATCAAACAGCGCTCTCGAAGGACATTGGCAGAACTCTCTTGTGAATGTGGACCTCTCCCACTGAAAGCAAGAGAAGAAGAACCATGGCCTTCTGGGCTTGGACTTGCACTGGAACTGCCTTTCTTGTTCCTTGTTCTTTCTGCCCAGTGTCATGTGGCGCCCAACCAGGCCAATAGTATTGTACCAAATACAGAGTCTCAGTGTGTTATTTGGGGCTGGCTTGGTGGCGGAACAAGAGCAGGTGGCGGGCAGAAAAACCGTACTTGTTACAGTCATGTTTTTCCAGCTATCCTGAGAATCTGATGAACACAGCTGATCTCCAGCCCCAGAGACTTTGGTGCCACAATTCATCCTTCTTCACTGAGTCCTGGAGTGACACTCTCCTGCCTTTCACAGACACATCCTTCCTCCCTTCCCTCACTGGTCCAGAGACATCCCTGACACAGTGCTGCATGGCAAGACAGCAAGCAACACAAGCCTCTCTAAAAACTGCACTCTGCTGGGGAGGCCAAGGCGTGCTGCCCGCCTGCTGACGTCCTGTTTGTCCTTGTGCAAGTAACTCAGAACCTTTCAAGGTCTTGGCTTAGTCTTCTGGTAAATGGCATGAATAATACCTGGCACACCACTGCAGTTCCCCATATTTACTGGACAACCAACAATAGCAACATGTCTACCTAGCCCAGCTCTCTTTCCTCTCTGCTTCCCTTTCTGTTCTGATGGATGCTTGTAGAACATCACATATTCTCCCTGTTCAAGCCTTGAGATGTTTTGCCATGTGCCTTAAAGAAATTGCTTGGTATCTGGCCAGCAGAGATCCATCTTCACCTATACTTTCTTCACAGCATCCTTATCTCAAAGTGAGTCGCCATTTCCTTCAGGGATTACAGCATTTAAGCAGTTACTGTACATGGCTAAATAGGGAGAATAAATATTAGAAATCCCACTTGCTCTAACAATCAGTCAATGCCTAAAGACTCCCTGCCTTCCTATGTCTTTAGAAAATCTAAGAAAGTGACAATATTCAGTCTGTCAACACCCAAGAGAGATGCTGGCCACCAGGGTCATGCTTTGGGTCCACTTCATTTCAGTAGCGTTACTTGTTTTCAACCTTTTTTCCCTCAAGTACTTCTGCTAGCTAATATGTGTTTATTAGACACCTGAGGTTCCAGCCTGCTCTTTCTTTAACGTCATGGTCAGAGGTTCCACTGATAAGTAAACAGGTGGTTCAAGGTGACAAGGGCAGAGATAAGAAATCAAGTCGAAGTGCAAGAATAGCCCAGGGTCCCACTCTGCCAGACTCTGCAGACATCAGAGCTCTCTGGAGAAGATGCCCTTCACAGCACAAATGCTTTGACTATGAGTGTTTTTGGAAAGCCCATGAAGCACTGAAGGGATTAAAGTGTAAAATCACCTGCTTCATTCCTAGCCTGCCTCTTCTACATACCCTACAGCACATGCCTCAACCTCTGTCTGCATAACTCCTCTCACCTATAAGGAGAAGAACAGGGTTTACCTTACAGGGATCTCTACAACTTTTCAGAGAGTTGAAGCATAGGATAGAGGCCGAGCGAACGGGACATGCCATGCACCCCAGAAAGTTAAAACATGTTGTGTGACAGATAATACCATTAGCTGTCATCGAGGCTACAAAGCAAAACGACTGATTGAAAGTTTAGAATATGGAGAGAGCACAAAAATCCCATCACTTGAGAGTGTCTGTTAATGTTTGTATATAGTCACTATTATTTTTGTGTGTATTTTAAAATAAAAAGTGCATTTACAATGTTTAATTTCTCACTTAGTGTTGTAAGCATTTAAAAATGTGTTACCACAGGCCAGGCAGCTGTGACATGCACACCTTTAATCCCAGCACTAGGGAGGCAGAGGCAGATGGATCTCTGTGAGTTTGAGGCCAGCTTGGTCTACAAGAGCTAGTTCTAGGACAGGCTCCAAAACAATACAGAGAAACCCTGTCTCAAACCCACCCCCCCCAAAAAAAGAAAAAAATTATCACATAGTTTTGTTTGTAGTTCATTTTTTTAAAGTTTTATATGTATTTAGTATGTACGTGTGCATGCACATATATGCACGCCATAGCACTCATGCAGAGGCCAGAGGACAACTTTTGGGTGTTGGTTCTCTCCTTCAACAATGTAGGCTCAGGAGAGTGGACTTAGGTTGTCAGGCTTGGCAACAAACACCTTTATCCATTGAGCCACCCCCCCTCCCCACCCAGTGCTGTTCATAGATCTTAGTGTCCTTATAGTAAGCTGTGGGGTAGACGCCCTGTAATTCAGTTCCCTTCTCCATTATCGATGCTTGCTTAAATGGCTTCCAGTTTCCAGCATGACAAACCATGCTTAAGTAAGTGTATATATTTTAAAGTAATTTTCCACAGTTTAGATTATGTCTATTGAATGAGTCTGACCTATTGAATTGTATGCATGAACTTGGGTTTTTAAATGCATTTGATAAGTTATTGCAGATTTCCTTTCTAGAACCTGGCTTGTGTTAAGTTGCACTAGAAAGCCTCAGGGGGAGAATGGGTTTTCTCTAACTTTGCTACTGTTTGTGTTTCTTTTGTTACGAAGCAGATGTTCCCACTCATTTCATCAGTCTAATTTTCCCAGTAAGAAATTGCTGGCCATTCCTTTTGTGTGTTCATCTATTGCTTTCTTGCTTGCTCTCTTTACATCCAGTCTGAGCCAGCCCTCTGTCACTTTCTGGTCTTGCTTCTTGTCTCTCAGTTTTGCTGACCTGCAGCCCAGCAGACAGTGTGATAGGACCAGCCTTTTCCGGGGCTGGACCAACTGTGTGACCCTTAGCAGGCACCCAATCTGCAACAGATGATTCTGTCACCATCTGCTCCTAGCACATCTGTGGACAAGCCACACTCTCGTCCACTATGTTAGCTGTCACTAGTTTCATTTTTCTGAAGATTTGTTTATTTTAGGTGGATGAGTTTTGCCTCTATATCTGTGCACCATGTGCTTGCAGTACCTGCGGAGGTCAGAAGAGGGCATCAGATTCCCTTGAACTGAAGTCACAGATGGTTGTGAGCAGCTGTGTGGGTGGGTGCTGAGAACTGAACCCGTGTCCTCTGCAAGAGCAGCAAGTACTCTTAATTGTGATGACTGTTGGTGTCAGCCCCGGTTGTTTTCGTGTCTTAACAGACGGGGTGACTTTGGGTGAGCAGGTGGGCAGAGGAGACTGAACTCTGAAACATTTTCTCCCTCTCCAGGTGCTGTCTACCATGTTCCTTCTTCTGATTGTCTTTGCCATTTTTGACTCCAGAAACATGGGAGTCCCCAGAGGCCTAGAGCCCGTTGTCATTGGCCTCCTGATCATTGCCCTCTCTTGTTCTCTGGGCCTAAACACTGGCTGTGCTATGAACCCAGCTCGAGACCTGAGCCCCAGACTTTTCACTGCTCTGGCAGGATGGGGGTTTGAGGTCTTCACGTAAGTACCAATGGTAGGGAGGAGACAAAAGGGTGGCTGCTGTGCTCCAGCAGGGAGAACTGAGCACTGACTGGGAGATGCAGGAGCATGTGGACCAGAGAGCAGAGGCTAAGGATGCTCTGGTTAAACATGAATCATTTTTATTATATATAACTTGTCTACTGATTGACTTTGTGGCCAGGCCCAACTAGAAATGGCATCTATAGCTGCCAAGGGACTCGTGAGTAGAGCTTTATTGGGCATTAGATATGCAGATGTCACTGTGATAGCGAAGGACATTTCTAAATCACCACACACACTAGGATTTGGGGCAGAAGTTTAGTGTGTTTAGAAGGCTGATTGATCAAAATCAATCTGCTATACCTTACAAGATGAAGTGAAAAGGGAGAGGGCAGAAGAGTAGGATTCATGTGGCCGTAATTCCACAGCTGGGATGGACAGTGGAGACAACAGGCAGATCCTGAGGGCTCGCTGGTCAGATTGCCTAGCTGAAAGGAGAGTGTCCACTTCAGTGCGAGACCCTGTCTCAGCTCAACAAAGCAGAGAATAGAGGGAGATTATACAAGGGAGTACCTAACATGGGTCCCAGATGTGTACGAATGAGCATTCACCCCCCCCCACACACACACACGTTCCTGTGGCAGTCTTAGGAACACAGAGCAAATGCTGGCTGCCCTGTGTGTGTGCTGTGACAGGACCCTACAGGCAATCACACCTGAGCACCTCCACTTGGGACTTCCGTGTCTGGCACAGTACATCCAGCTTTAGATAAAACAGCCAGGGCCCAGCCTGTGACGGGGAGATGCTCCAAAAAGGAAACTGTAGGACTAACTACTAAAATGGCTGCTACAGTAGGGGCAACACTCTAACCTCCAGCCAAGGCTTTCCAGAAAGGGTTTAAACCCAGGGGAGAAAGCAGCCTCCCTTTGCCAGTCTCTTGCTGCACAGTGCATCTGGATTTGGGGTTTGAAGATGTGGGACAGGACAATGAGAGGGCAGGTCCAGCAACCTCTTGCACAAAGTAAGAGTGACATCTGGTGGCTGCTGTGCGAAGTCTCACTGCTCTCTCATCCAACCCACGCAGTGTCCCTCCCTGTGAATGAAGGAACTGGGACTTGGACAGGGTACCTCCTCAGGGACCTTCTAGACTGTCCCTGGGTGGAGAACAGGTCTTCTGGAGTCCATGACAGAGCTCCTGTTTTCTGCTTGTGACCCCATTGTCCTCTCAGATCAAAATCTGCTGTACACACTACAGGTGTGAAGGCTGTAATCAGGAGGCTGAGGCAGGTGACTCCATGAACGTTTGAGGGAAGCCTAAGCGGCATAATGAGCTCCAGGCCGCCCTGGACTGCAGAGTTAGACCCTATCTCAGATAGACAAAATCTGCTCTAAACAAAAGGTTATCAAGCAAAATCATGCAAAGAACAGGCATGGATTCTTCTAGAATCAGCATGTTCTCCATTATACGAGGGAGGAAGGATTTTAGTTTCTTATGGGGATCAAACTGAAAGCCTTGTGTACACTGAATGAGGGCTTTCCCGCTGAGATGTTCTCCAGGCCTTTTTCTGTTAGTTCACACTAGGGCAGATGCCAGAATCCAGTCAGAGCAACCGTGAAATTCTCACAGGCACCTCTGTCCATCCATCCCTCACGTTCGCGTGCTTTCCCTGGATTATGTTTGTCATATTCTCGATTTTTAGAAATAGTTTTCCTTGACTGTCAACATCTGAAATTATATATATATATATACATATACATATATATATATATATATATATATATATATATATATATATTGCTTTGCCTAAGCAATCACAGAAGCCATTCCCATGGAGCCATTTGATAAACAAACCTCACAAGGTCACCTGCTGCCTCCCAGACAGCATCTTTCCTAGAGTGTACAGACCCTGAGGGTTTCTGTGGGGAAAAGGGGAGTAGGGGTATAAAAGCCTTGCAGAGTGAAGCATTGCAGACTGCACTGTGGGCTGTGCCTCTAGAGACATTATCCGGGAGATAATTTAGCAGATAATTCGCATACCGCGTTCCGTTCCCATCACTCTTTGGTTGTCAGCATGAACTGTGAGTCCCAGGAATCTGTTGACTTCCCGAGCACCTCTTTTGTTCGTTTCATTATGTCACAGTACAGAAAGACAATTTCTGAGCGGCCTCTCTAGAGGCCCTCAACCTTGGCCATGGATTCATGGAGCTGTACATTTTTAAATGTATTACATTTCATTTGGGGTGTACAGGGTGTGTGGTACACACACAACCACCATGTACATGTGCAGGATCTAAGACTGCTTGTAAGAATTGATTCCCTCCTTCCGACATGTGGGTTCTGGGGATTGAACTCGGGCTTTCAGACTTGGCAGCAAGCTCCTTTGCCCACTGAAAACCATCTCACGTGCCCTCGTGCCATGTTTTCTAAAAGGAAAACAGTGTACAATCAGTCACTGGTATCATTAGGACACGGGAGTGGGTCCCTGATGTCAGGTACACTGGAAAGTCCAGGATGGTAGCGGCCATGCTGGAGTGAGTGTGCTTATACATGGCACTCTTCAAGTTCAAGAGTGGTGTGAACACATGAAAGAGTCCCTAGTGAATGACGAGACGGAGATACCAGGGTGGCCAAGAAACATCTCCCCATTTCTTTTTTTGCCTTCAGAGTTGGAAATAACTTCTGGTGGATCCCTGTTGTGGGCCCTATGGTTGGCGCTTTCTTTGGAGGCCTCTTCTACATCCTTCTTATCCAAATGCATCACTCAGACCCCAACTCAGAAGCGAAGGCAGAGCCATCTGAGAACAAGCTGGAGAAATATGAACTCAGCGTCGTCATGTAGTGGTGTGGCCGGGTCTAGATTTATTCCTTCACTATTCTCTCTTCAGAAAAGATGGCATCTGTGTGGTATGCTTTGGTGAGAATTGGGGTGGGGTGGGGGGAGTCTACCCAATTTTCTCTAGCCATTTGGGACAATCGCAAAGGCAGTCATGAAAAACTCCACCAGTCACCCCTCCCAAGAATAGCACCGACTGCCCTGAGGCAGCTGTCTCTCCTGCCCAGTTTATTGTGTCTTTGCTGGAAGTCCTTACTCCAGGTGATTGCTAAGCATTCGGAAGCTTGACCATGGACTTGGCTGGATGGCCTCAGAGACCTTGATTACCCTGTACGAAATATTGTCACTGAAGGCTCAGTCTTCACAATCTACAAATACAATGAGTGCTCTGAAACTGAAAGGCTTAACAGTGGCTGTGCTTAACACCTATGAAATGGGGAGCAAAGGGTTAACACTCCATCAAGCTGAGGGCTGTCTCCTCATAGATGCTCCCAACCTAGGGCTATAGAAAACAGAAGAAGGTGATCTGGAAAGAGTGCTGTGGCATTTAGAAACCTCAGGACACAAGATAAATTTGGAAAACTGAATGGATTTTTTTTTATGGAAACCATTTGTCAGATTAATCTCTTGCTCTTCTGCATTTTAGATAGTATCAATTAATTCCCAGGTCCTTAAGTGCGTAATAACCTAAAATATGATTGTAACCTTGGTCGTGAAAAATGTATCGCTCTGTCTTTTTTTTTTTTTTTTAAGCACAGATCTGTTTTCCTAATGGCTCAGTTGAGGACAGACCACTTGAGTAGTCTGTGGCTGCACTCATCCATGTCCCCAGCAGCCCAAACTAAAAGCAAGTGGAAGCTGGCTGGGCAGACCAAAGTTGAGGGTAGAAAAAGTACCTGGGACAAACACATGAGAGACAGGCTTTATCACTGACAAAACATTTGATCCCAAAAGCGATGGTCTGAGGTAAATAATCACAGTAGCCGTTTTTCAAATGAAAGTCTCATGTAAATTAAGCAAGTTGCCCTTTATTTTGCTTTCTTCCTTCCAGAAGCTTGCTAGCTGACTGAGGGTGTTAGGCATCCCAATCAGGCTTATGTGAAAGGGGGAATGAACGCTTTCCACAAACTGTGTGCTCTGTAGAATTACTAGTTCCGGATGTTAGGATGTGAGATTTCCAGAGCCCACATTGTCTGGTTTTACTCCCACTGTTACTGAGGCATTGAGGAAGGAAGGAGGCAGCCATCTGATAATTTTCATTTGCAGAGAAATTCTCAGAAGTCTATATTCCTTAGCTACTCCTGCTTTCCTTCCCTGCCAGTCCTCCTTGGCCTCTTGGAGACAGTTTCTAACTAATGCTACTTTCAGCCAGAATGAGAATTGCTCTAGGTCAGGGGACACACCTGTATTCCACCAGTTTAAAGCCCAGCCTTCCTAGAGACAGCAAGTTTCCCAGGTGCTCTGCAAGGACAACATGAAATGAATGAGGAATGTCTTAGACACCCTGTGCTGTGCAACCTGTGGGCATATGGATTCATTTTCTAACTCTGAAATCACCTGGATATTTTTTAGTTTAAATACATTGGAGTATTGTTGTGTTTACGTTTTGTTTTGTTCTGTTCTGTTTTGTTTCTTCCATTTGATGGCCACCAAACAACCTTAGTTCAGAGTTTGTTGATACTGTCTAGGAGCTTAATTTCCTGTGGGGTTTTTAGAAAATATCAATACCCAGTTAGTCCTTTGTAAATAGCTCAGGTGATTCAAGCATCCATCAAAGACTGGAAGCATGGATGGGATCCAATCCCATGGGCCTAAGCTTTCCTTGAAAGCCAAATGCACGATGGGCTTATTATTGGCGGTGTTCCCGGTGCCTTCGGTTCCTGGTGGGTTACAGTATGGTTCCCAGGAGTGGCAATTTTGCTCCCCCCTCTGTCCCACCCCACTCAGATCACCTGGAAACATCTGGAGACATTGATGGTTGTCACAACTAGGAATAGGGGGAAGAGTTAATGGCTAGAGATGATGCCACAACAAGGCGGTATCAAACGCATGTCAGTTATTCCAAGGCTCAGAGACCCTGGAGATTCTGAAAGACGAGGAGAGAGAGAATCAGGAGACGGGACCCTGTGCCCTGGGTTCAGGTTCTGTAGGGAGCAGAGATGTCAAACAAGCCAGAATGGACCCGCAAGGTAGATTTTCATTCTTAGAGCAGGAGGCAATCCAAAATTTGAGGTTTTGTTTGGAGGGACGGTAAATTGTGTAATAGATGATCCACGCAGGTGCTCATTAAATATCACTGGATGGTCAATGGTCAAGACTGTGAAGAGGAAATGTGTAGGGTTGGAAGTCCACCCTAGGAAGGGAGTCTTACTAGAAAAAGCTCCCTCTCAGATCCACTTCTCTCCCAGGTCTATGGCGAACAGGTTTGCCCCTGTTGGATTCCTCACTAAGAGAATGTCTATGCAGTTACTTGGTCTGTGCCTGCAGTCATCAGCAGAGCCAAGAGTCTCCTTTGAAAAGAACTCCTTTAGGAATTATAGTTGCAACATTCCTTCCTGCCCCCTTCTCAGCTGAAAAGGGTCCTAGGAGCATTTATCTTAATGTCAAAACCAGCATTTTCTGTTATTTCCCCAGCCAGTTGAGGTCTCAGAGCATGGTTTTACCCAGCAAATACCTCAGCAATTATTTAGTTGTTGGATAGGGTAAGCGAAGTCAAAAATATTTTAAAATTTAATTTAATTTTAAATTTAATCCTTAAGACATAAATTATAATTTAAGTTGGTCTTACACATGTATTGTTACATGAGGAATATCAGCATTCAGCAATATCATCATGGGAAAAGAATTGGAATTTCTGATTACAGATACTGGCTTATAAGCTTTGTTTAGCCATAAAAATGATTGTTCAAATAAAATCTTGTGTGGTATCCACAAATGAAGCGGGGCTGGTATTAATACAAAGGGGAGAGGGGTTAAGGAGCTTTGCCCACGGCTCTATGATGGAGATGGGGACAGCATCAGAAGACCTCATCATGGTTTAAAAACCATTGACAAAACGTCTTAATGAAAGTTTCAAGAACAGAAACTGGCTGCATTAATTCAATCCTGGCCATTTCCCTTGGATTTCTGAAGAAATGAATTTGGGCAAACAGAATTCTCCACCACTATTCCCACCCTAAAAACATCACAGTGAAATGTTGCATGTTAAATCTCAAACAGAGAATCTAAATTCTCCAGGGTAATGAATTGACTAATTGCAGCCTATGGGCATAAATTATGATAGCCCTAGTCAGGGTTACCGTGTGGACCCTCTAGGTCTGCATACAAATAAAAAATAGCCGATGAACGATTACTGCAGATAGACAGACAACCAAACAGCTGGGGTCTAACCTCTTCTATCATGAGTGGAGAGAAGACTCCTGTGCTATGATAGAGGGCACACACCAAGTGAACCCAAATAAACTGCTGTTGTCAAGAGAATCCACCAAGCTATGAGTGGGTGCACAATCTGGCTCCCTCAAGGGCTACATTTTGTTTTGCCTGGATGAGTTTCACTCCCCCATCCCACACACACATACACACAAAGAAACAAAATAAATGTTGAAGACTGCTGGTGACATGGTGGATTATGTTCTTTATCGACATATGCTTTTAGGGAAGATTAAAACATTTTATTGTATCCCCCCCCAAAAAAACAAAACAAAACAAAAAAACATTGTGGAGGAAGTGAGGGAGTTCCGGGAGGAGCGGGAGAGATGGCTCAGTGGCCAAGAGTGTCTGCTGGTCTTGTGGAGGCCAGAAGTTCTGTTTCCACCGTGTAAATCAGCTCAGAGGAAACCAACGCCTTCTGGCCCCCACAGGCATCTGCATGAATGGGCAAAAACACAAGCACACAAATCTAAAAAGAGTCATGAGCGCAAGGCATTGAGCCTGATGAAGACTAAGATGCTAGTGTGGCCTCTTGCTTCCTCCCTAGTCTAGCACCCTCTGGCTGTCCTAGCCTGGTTGCACGGCACTCTCTCTCAATGCTCACCACTGTTCTCGCTGGAGTAAGAGGGTGGGAGCATCTTTTAGATTTCTGGAGGTTGAAAAAGACACTTCAGAGTCCAGGCCCTCAGCCATGGTGATATTCAAGGTGATACTCCCATCAGGGTTCCAGCAGGAAATGAGTGTGCAAATAGAGCAGGAAAGTCCCAACTCACCAGGGAGCCTGTAATGTGTGTGCATCAGTCACTTTGTGTTGAAATACCTGTCATAAGCAATTTAAGGGTGTGTTTTGGTTCACAATTTGAAGGGATGCAGTCCGTTGCAGTGAAAGAGTCACAGCTGCAGAGGCATGAGGAGCCTCTGTCACATTACATCCACAATTAAGAAGCAGAACTTGATGAGTGCCTGTACTCAACCTGCTTTCTCCTTACCAGTCTGAGCCTTGTGCCACCCACATTTAGGGTGGGTCTTTCTACTTCAACCCAATCTAGAAACTGCCTCGTGGCTGTGTCTGCAGATTTGTCTCCTAGGTAATTGTAAGCCCTGTCAAGTTGACAGTATCAATCACCACACCAGCATGAGTGTGTGTGTATGTGTGTGTGTGTGTGTGTGTGTGTGTGTGTACGTATATGTGTGTCAGTACTCATGGAGGCCAGAAGAGGGCATCAGATCCCTGGAGATGAAGTTACAGGCAATTGTGAGCCACTTGCTGTGGATGCTGAGACCCAAAGTGTGGTCTTAGCCTCTGACCTCTGTATCCAGCTCCCATACTATCTTTAATAATTATTGTTACATCAAGAAATCCATACTCCATAAAATGCTTAAAATTTAAAAGCCGAAATGTGCCATGAATCTATTCCTGTGAGACACTGTAAGTGATTACGGTAAAAACCTACAAATTCCCAAGCCACTACAGCTTGTTTCAGAAGTAGCTATTTGATAATCATTTATTCATTTATTCCTAGGACTTCAGATCTTTTGAAATCAGCCCAGTGTAAAAATAGCACTGGGCTTCCAGGCCAAAAACTTAGTGTAAAGGAAATCAAGAATCTTGATAACCCCCAGGTGACTGATGTCTAGTGATAGTCTGAGATCAAGACTCTGATTTACAGACAATATTGGCACAGCCAGAAGTCACTTCTGTAGATCCGGAGGAGTGAGGGCCAGACCTTATCTGCCTCAGAGCCTATTCTCAGCATGAAGCCAAGGGCTGAACTTAGTGATCCTCAAATGAGACCATGAGGGACTCTTAGTGTTAACATCTGGGGACTATAGGACTGGAGCCTAAGAGGTCAGGCAGCTTGTAGACAGGCAGTCTAATGTGGAGTCAAATGTGAGCCTCTCCTTCCCCTTTATCCACCAAATGGGGATGATGTCCTATAGAAAACACTGTGAAACCCTTAAATGTTCCCAGGAGCTTGTCTTAGTGCCCCCTAATTCTATTGTTATTTCACATTTTCACACTCACTTGTTTTTCTGACATGTAAGTATTTGAAGCTCCCCCCAGATATCTACAGAAGTGTATGTTTGCTAAGATCACCTGGTTTATATGACTGGTTGAGGGTTGACAATCTGCTCAGGGCCGCACTTAGCTCAATAAAGAACTCAGTATTGATAAGAAATCAACCCCATGCTTGTTTACCTAAATATTTAAATGGAAACAACATTTTGTTTAAAAACAAGTGTAAAAAGTATTTACAGAGTTAATGTAATGCCAGTAAAATATCAGCAGGTGTTTGTAAAGGGAAATTAAAAGCTCATTGCTGTGTGTATGTATATAGGCAGGCCTGGTGTCACACAGCAGAGACTAACATAGAAGGGTCATGGGCTCATGTCAGCCTAGGCAACAGAGAGAAGCTTCTCTCCAAACGGTTGAACAGAAGTGCCTAATTTAATTTTTAGATGTTCTTCTAAAACCATGATAAGACAGAACAAATAAATGGCTATAAGGGAATCAAAATTTAAACAGCATGTATGCAACTATTGATTTTCAATAAGGGAACTAATGTCACCCTCCCAAGAAAGTGAAGTGCTTCCTCCATGTCATTGACTAGCTCCAAAGAAAGAAAAACACAGAAGCAAAGCCCACAAAAAATATAATTCAATATGTAACACAGACCTAAATACAGAAGTTCAATATATAAGCTTCTAGAACAAAACATATGTGTAGCTTTGGTTTTGATAGAGTTCTTACATAATACTATAAAAACAGAACAGTTGGACTTTAGTACAATATAAAGTTTCTAACCATTAAAAGATATTAAGAAGCTGGGCAGTGGTGGCACTCAGGAGGCAGAGGCAGGCAGATCTCTCTGAGTTCAAGGCCAGCCTGGTTTATAGAGTGAGTTCAGGACATCCAGAGCTGTTACACAGAGAAACCCTGTCTCAGGAAAAAAAAAAAAAAGAGTAAGAAAGTAATTGGGTGTTAGTTAGGTGGTTCCGTGGTTAACAGCACTAGCTGCTCTTACAGGGGACTTGGATTAGCACCCACATGGTAGCTCACAGTCATCTGCAACTCTAGTTCCAGGAGATCTAACACCCTCTTCTGGTCTTCCCAGGCACTACACACTAGAGGTGGACATACTCATATATAGGACATACCAATATACACAC